TTCCACCACCACCCACATGGCGATCGTTTCCGCTGCGTTTCATCCTCAGCTTACGCCAAAAAAGCGCCTGGCAATGCTGAAATAGAACGAACACGAAACAGCAAGAAGTAATAACAAAAAACAAATCGCACTGCGGCTCAGGACCACAGAGAGAAGACGTTCGAGAATTGCGCCATAACAGCAACGTACCCCACACAGAGCTGAACAAAAACCCTCCTCGACCTACACCCAACGGGAATTCACGAGAATCCTGCACAATGGCAGCTCCCAGAAAACTTAATAAATAGCGAAGCGCGCCAGGGTAGCCGGTGCGATCATGCGTTTTGCGCAGTTCCGTCCAGCAGACGTTTGCTTACTAAAAATATAACTGTTGTACACTTTCGTATATGGGAAAACAACAGATATGCTGTCTGGCCTTTAAGGTGAGAAATTTCTCACTGAAAATTTCACGTGCCACATCACAATTCTCACGGGTTTTACGTAAGACCTCAGCATACTTGGGAGCTAAATTTGAGTCTGTGAGATAAATGCAGCGGCAGAAAATATAGTCTTGAAATTTCAGCTTCCTAGCTTTCATGGTCCCTAAAATAATTTTCCGCCAAAACTTTCACGGAGCCGTACGCGATACCCAAGCGTACGGAAAAACTGAATTTTAATTATCTAGGTTGCACGTGGTCAGGGGCCATACCCGTAAAATTTCAGCTCCCTAGCCTCCGCGGTTCCTGAGATGATTTTATTCGAAAAAGTTTTACGGCATCGTACGTGTTATCCGAGGGTACAGGAAGGCTGAATTTAAGTTCTCTGGGTCACACGTAGGCAGGGGACATATCCATAAAATTTCAGCTTCTTAGCTTTCGTGGCTCCCGAAATAATAGTTTCAATCGCCAAAAATTTCACGAGGCTGTACGTGTTATCCGCGAGTACAGGACTGAATTTGAATTCTCCCGGTTTCGCGTGGTCAGGGACCCACAAAATTTCAGCTTCCTAGCTTCCGTGACTCCCATGATAATAATTTACCCGCCAAAAGTTTCAAAGGGAGGTAGGTGGTACCTTAGAGCGTGGAGACACTGGGTCATTAACCTGTCAGCCTCCTAGATTCCGCGGTTCCCAAGAAAACAGTTTACTCGTCAGAAGTTTCATCGGGCCGTA